CTGGTATGGCAGGAGCTTTGGGCAGGCATCAGCTGTCCCTAGCAGACCCCTGGTGCCTCCCAGAATTCACACCCAAATACCGTCCACAGTTTTTCTCAGGAGTTATCACCCACAGCCAAAACTATAAAATGAGTGCAAGGATGGACATTTTCTTTGAAAAATGTGCTAACACCAGCGCGAATCAGTTTGCTTGTAGCTCATGGCCGCTTCAGTTAGCCTCTCATTATACTGATCTAGCCAAGATTACAGTTAGCCGTCCTCAGTGTAGTCCTCTAGCCGATCTTATCTCAGCACAGTTTAGGCCAGCCTAGCTGAGGGTGCGGAGCAGAAGGGTACCGATGAGACAGGTGTCTAAGTATGTAGGACACCGTGTCTATGCTGTGCCTGTTTCACACAGGCCCTGTGACAAGTCGAGTCATGAGGGAGCATCATGAGGAAGGAGTTTAATTAGGAGCAAGCCTCCAAAGGGGCCACAGAGGAAGACACAGAGCCATGCAAGCATACACAGCTTTTTGCAGTCTTTCTTCTATACTTTTCCTCTGTCTTCTCTCTCACATTTATTGAACCCATTCTTTGTGGCATTTAAAGCAGTTAAGGTATGAGTACCATGAAGTATATCTGGTTCTTACTCTTTGCTTTAATAAACTCTCTGACTGTAAATGATGATTTTGTAAACAGAGGCAATACAATCGTTATAAAGCTAAATAGTACTTTATGAAACATCTCCCTTTAGTGCCACCAGTCATTTTTTATAGGATATAATCATGGACATTTCTTCATGAAACTGAAAATTCTAGTTACTTGGATAATTAAATAATTTTTATATACGAATGGTAATTTGGGTGAATATTTTGTGCAGAAAATTCTTGGCACAATCAAACTGAACCAAAGTGTTTTTGTTTAATCCTCATCCTATTAGCATATTCCCTAAAGACTCCATTTTCATGCCAGCTTTTCATACCCATAGCCCTGTTTCTTTCAATATTGTGGTGGCAGCTCTTTCCCACTGATCATTATTCTCTCAGTCATTATGAAATATACATCTTAAGTGTGTTTTTTTCTATAGTGATAATTTCACTGAATAACAAACTCAAAGTCTTGTCTGGAGCAGCAGTCAGTGACTCTCTGGAGTAGAGCAATGAAATGCATAACAAATTCAGGGCAGAGATAAAGCAGCGGGCTATTAGAGATGGGGAAAATATATAGGATGACGAGAGTACTGTGGTAGGGCGGTGAGGTAGAAAGCACAAGAGTAAGAGGCCCTTCTATGGCTATATGAGAACTCTGACAGATCTGATTGGTTGTTGGTTTGAGTGTCAGTCTTTGGCAACAGGTGTGATGTCTTTAAACAGGTGGGCATAACTGGGATGAGTGGCATAGTGCCCTTGTACCGCACCCTCAACATGCTGAGCCCTGCTGGAAAGCTAAGCCTGGGCCACATGCTTCATAAGTCATATAACAGTCACTCTCTGGCTCCCTGCACACCATCAACACCCAATGCAACCGCTGCCCAACCCCCTGCCAGACCACCAGCAACATTACTCCATATGGGTGTCACCTTTGCTCCAGCCCCCGTTCTCCTCTCCTAGCTATGCCCCATTGCTGTTCTTCCTAGAATGGAAGTGAATCTCTCACACACTCTTTGCTGATGGCAGTAGGTGGTGGAAATCTGTGCAAGTAGGAAGAAAAGTTGTTGTTTTTTTTATTTTCATACATTTTCATG